AAATGTGCCTATCATTTCACTGATAATATCTATTTACATTTTAATTTTAGTAAATCCTCAAGCTAACAAGCAGATGTAGCTAATAAAGCATCTATTTCATCTGGTGGCCCCAGTTATCATAGTTTAGTTAGCAACAGGGGAATGAAACTGGGGAATAAGTCTCTCGGCTCACTGTTTCATGTAAATTAACATTTTTGTTTTTTATGAATACAGCTTATCTTTTATGCACCTCATAGGGAATCAGATAGCACACTATTAATTAGCTCTGAGAAATTAGTGTGGGAAACACTATATACTAAAAATCAGAGTGGAAAAAAGTCTCCGATAGTCCGAAAAATCGTGGCTATATAGGAACATTAACCCAATTGCATAGCTGTTACCAAGGACATTGCCCTGAAAATAATCAAGTTGTTGCTTTGTTTGTTTGTTTCAAAACTATCAATTCTCTGGGTTTGTGTTATCTTCAAAAATCACCTAATTTTTTGGATTTTGCTGTGATCACATTTTATAAAAAGGTGTTCTTAAAAAAGAAAAAGGCTGTGTTGTTATAGTGTGCCAAAATCACCTCCTCTTCTCCATGACAACAGATAAAGAAGCTGTAACTATGGCAACAGTAATGGACCAGACAGATTAGGGCCAGACTGGAGATTAGGCGTCCACGAGCGAAGAAAAGAAGTCCTGATTGGTTCTTTATTGAGACCTTATTTGAAGGCAAGTTACTGTTAAGAAAAAGCATGGAGGATTAGTAAGAACAAAATTAATTCCCCTGTATAAGAAAAGAAGCCATTCCTTTATTTAAACTGTGTTCTTTCCTTTTCATATAAGGTCTGTTTAAACAGAGGTAAAGAGTCCATGATTAATTCTATTTTGAGCTTTATCAGTGCTATCTGAGTTTAGACTAGTTCTGTGAAAGACACTCCCAAAGCCTGGTGAGAAGAGCGAAAAGACAATAGTTCTGCTTCCAAACTCCCACTGCCTTCCCTCTGGGCGGTCCATGGATAGGTAGAGAAGGCCACTCGTTTTCATGATGGGACCACATGTGAGTGAGGTGCTCTTGGGGAAAAGATTTGAAAATTTCTTCTGTTTTTCTTAAAATTTATTCTTCTAAAATCTTTAAAATTCTCAAAGTTTGTCCCCATTACCATTAATCATATATATATATATTCTCTAAAAAATTTAGTAAGGTTTCCATTTTCTTTAAACTGGTAAGATGTATTTGGTATTACGTTTTGAGTCAATGAGCCATCTATGATGTTAGATTGATGTACTAAACTGTTGGACTGATGAAGGTGGACATTTATTATTTTTTTAAACAATACACTTGTAGAAATGAGACTGCTTAGTGGCATAGTATGAGTATTCTTTTTATTATTTTAAAGGATTTTGCCAGGTTGATGTCTATGACGGTAGTTCTTTAACAAACTTCTTCACTGACCACAGATGGGGGCCCCCCAGCCTGGTCAGTGTGAGATGTTAGCATCCATTAAAGTCTTGCCTTTCCAGCAGGGTTTTTTAAGCCTTTATTTTGATGTGTATTTCCTTTATTATTTGACAAGTTGAAGTCTACTTCTAAACAAAGTTATCCTTTATTTTACTGATATTTTAAATAATTGTTTCATATTATATTAACTATTGCCTGTTATATATTTTCCAAATCCTTTGGTCAGTCTTCCCAGAGGTAACAGGACCTCAGCTAAGCCAAGAAGGAAAATGGTGGGTACTCTGATGGATGCAGTAGGCTTGTGAAGTGTGGGGGCTGTGTCTATGAAGGCCCTAGGGAATTTCAAGTGGTTCAGCATGAAGGGATATGTTTAACGGGGGCATCAAAAGCCAGGGAGCCTCCATGTCCATTTGTGAATACAGTGGCTTTCTATGTTGATCACTGGTCCCTCCTTTGCACATAGAACAGAAATGGGCAGGTGATAGGTGCTCTATGCCTATTTGCTGGATGAGTAGAGTTAGTGATCACTGCTTAGAGTGGACACCTGCAAGCCTCTCCCCGAAGGTGATTTTCTTGCCATAGGAAAACACTAGGCCACTGTTCAGGAAAGGCAGTGTTCCTGGAGTCACTTTCAGCCAATGGCAGAGAAGGAGTCAGTAGGTAAATTCCCTGATTCCTAAGGGACGGTAGTTATGAGACATACCTTGCACTGACTCTCAGGGTCCATAGTGGGATCGGCCTTTAGTTTCCCCTGGTGATAACCACCTGGATGATTCACACTTTACAGGTTCCCACCCTGCCCTGTCTCACTTCCTCACTCTCCAGTAGGATCACACCCCCCAGATGTATTTGCACATAGTCCTTTCCTGAGGCCCTGGCTGGGGTGGGGGGAGCCAAACCGAGAGCAGGAGCCAAACCAGCAAGCAGATGAAGAAGATTAGAGCTTGTCCCGAGGTAAACAGAGGTGGAGGATAAACAAGCAGTAGGGTGATCTGACCAGAATGACATCTTTATTAGCTTCTTCTGGATGCTGCACAGAGAATACAAATGTGTATCTGAGAAAGGTGATTTTAAGGAAGGCAGAGGCACCAAAAGGCGGTTGCGATGCTTCGGGTGAGAGAATAGACCAGGGGGCTGTAAGTCTGGTGGTGGAGATACAACAGCCTGGGTAGATGTACCAGATGTTCAGGAAGGGGGATTTAGCAGGGGGTGAATGAAGGAGAGGCAAGAAAAGATGTTGTGGTTGGGATTTCTGGGTTGTCCAGTTGAGGGGACTTGGTCGACACAGCCCAGGAAGAGGCTGAGGAGGGAAGAGAATAAGATCACTCGAGTGTGTTAGTCTAAGCTGCCTGTGGTGTATAGAAGTAAAGGTTTTTGTCAAGAAGCTTAATATCACCCATATTTTGAAAGAGACACCCCATATCCAGGCATCAACCTTCCCCCCCACCCTAACGAATCTGCAACAAAAGATTGACTAACTCACTGCCAGTCTTCCATTTATTTCAAATTCCATGCTGATCAGGAAAGCAAGGGGAAATTCTATCTACGAAGTAGTCAAAGGATCTGTGGAGTCAGAAATAACTCTGGACGCTTTCTGCCATTCTGAAAAACCTCTCTTTGTCTGTGTAACTGGTGTGGGTTGTAAATTGATAACATTTCTGGAACCATTAGGAAATGAGTTATTCTCTTCTCCCCTCAAAATGGATTTTTTCCAGATAATAGGAGTTTAGCTGATGGCTGTAATATAGAAGCAGTCAATCCCTGTACACAGTAAATACAAGGATGGAGACTAACGTTGATAATAACTAAGGGTAAATGTCGGCAAATCTAGTTTGAAAGTTAAGTGTAGGCAAATGGCTACTTATGCTTTGAGGCTAGAAATCACTGTCAAGATTAAACACATGTTTTTTAGATTTGGGGAATTGAATAAACAAGAAGAAACAGAGAAATCTAGCAAAGATGGATTATGAATTCACACACATAAGCACCCCCCCACACACACACAATACACACACACACACGCACATATTCAATAGAAAACTTCCATTATATGTTATAAATGCTCCAAATATTTGAAAAACCATTTTTCTAATTGTAGATAATTCATTTATTCCTCTAGATAGCAGTTGTTAAATTTTACTATCCATACAATGATAACTCTACAGTAAGCCAAGTGCAATCGGACACTTTTGTGTCTCGTAGAATTTTTTTCTGTCATTTTCTTTACTACAAGGTAGTTTATGCAAACTGCTTTGACTTTTTGTTAGCTTCTTTTAATTCTACTCTTAATTTTCTATGGTATTAAAAATTTATAAATATAGTACTGTATTTCCAAAAGAGTATACAGACTTTAACAGGAATGGATTTTGTAATAATTACTTGATTACCTAGGCCAGCGGTTCTCAACCTGTGGATCATGACCCACAGGAACTGTACTAAAGGGCCATGGCATTAGGAAGGTTGAGAACCACTGACCTAGGCATTTATCAGTATGTGTAAGTCCGTTGCTGTGTTATGTTATTCAGGGTCTTTGTTGACTTGACTTCCAAATTAGAGCTTTACTAACTCTGTGTCTATTTGGGTACACCTACGTGGCCTGTGGCTTTTCTATATAAAACACATCTTAACTATAATAGTATTTTAAAGAATCAATTTAGTTACAAGTTTGTCTTAAATAAAAGGAGATTACAGTGTTTTTTTTTCTTCCTGCATCAATTATCTGATCTCTGAAAATAACTTCATCAGACATCAGATGACTTTCCTGTTTATTAAAACTATATAATCACATGTTTTCTAGAGTAGTAAACCCAAGTCCACAAAAGACTTTGTAAAGTTTTGTGAAATTATGGCTCTCTCCCTTAGGTCTACTTGGAAATCTTGAACATATTGGTAGGTAATCTTTGGCAAAACAGTCACTTGGAATTAGCTTTATATTTAAAATATATTATATGTATAGCCTGAATCATAATCCTGTTCTTTACTTCAGAGATGAGAGCTGTATTTATTTGTTTATTCATTCATCCATATTCTCACCTATTCGTCCACTGCTTCATTCCAGACAGAATTCAAGGAGCTATAGTCTTAATTATTTAAAATAATTTGTCTCTTGTCTAAAACATTTTCTGTTATCACTTAAAGTAATGACAAGTATAATCCCTTCATAATAATCAATCTTATTATCCACAGTTCTAAAGTAAGGTCTCCTATGCTTCTTTAAAAAATCACATTACCCAATATCTCTCCTCGTTTCTTCCTTAAACATTTATTTCTTAATGCTGTGGATCCCATGAGTAATAAAAACTGGACAAATATTCAGTGGAATCATATACGTTATTATTCAGCACCTTTCTTAAACCCCAGGAAACCCCAGTGCACCTTTGACTCTGGTTACTGTGTTTCTTCCTTCAGTGGTTACCGTTTTGCCTACATGTTCTTCCTTCCTTTAGAACCCGTGTGACTGTAACATGGTGACGCTTGCTGGTAGGTCAGTTCTATCTTCCTGCTCAGTTCCCACCCAGGGCGCTGACACCCCTAACAGGCTCCTCTCCTTCCTCCTCAGCTTTCCCCAGCTCCAGTGTCCTCCCTTCAGCTCCCAGAGATGTGGTCCCCGTCTTGGTTTCCAGTCGATTCATCCGTCTCAGCTGGCGCCCACCTGCAGAAGCAAAAGGGAACATTCAAACGTTCACGGTCTTTTTCTCCAGGGAAGGTGACAACAGGTGAGTAATGCTACCAATCAAATTCAGCCTAATGGGCCATCTCTTTAAATGTACACCAGGCGGTGAGAGCGATATCAGATCTTGTGCAAGAACTTTGGAGATTCTGTGCAATCTCAACTCTCTGTCTTTTACTCATTAGTGAATGGAGATGAGTGGTTTTTATAGCAGGATTGTTTACAGAATCAAATGAAATAATTTATAAAAACTTATTTGAAAAAAGACAAGAATGTGAATATATAATATCTATGTTTTCTTTCTTTGGTTTTTAAAGGGAACAGAATTGGGCTGCATGTGGATAGAACAGGGTATAAAAGGACCACTGTGGTTAGTCTGTAATCTCTGTCACTGATGTCATGTGATCCCCCAACACAACATGACTTCTTTGAGGCTAATTTTACTCTTTAACATGGAGAAAATAGTAATACTTCCTTGCAGAATTTTTGTGAAGATGAAACAAAGGTCATAGCCAAGTATCTAGCATTTAGTAGAAGTTGTGAACGTGAATGTTGTTATTGACTAGGCAACAGTGAGTTGTGTGGATCTAGTTTCAAGATCATGGTCTCCTAAAGTTTTTTTCCCCAATATTTTTCCCTTAATTTTTTTTTTTTTCATTTTAAGACCTGAAATTTGATTCATAAATCTAAGGTAGATTCTGGATAATTTTTGTGTGGGGAGGAGCAAGCATGCTTGTGCTAGGGTTCTGGTCTGACAAACTGGTGAATGCTTTAATCACACAGTCACCTTTGGGAACTTCTCAGGCTCCAAAAGGGATATAAACAGGACTTGCCAAAGTGGCATGGAGTTCCAAATGGTGCAGCCCGATGATCAAAGTCTACAACACAGCTCCTCAATGCTGGGTCTCAAAATGCTTTTCTTTCTAGTTGGCAGTAGCAATGAAAGTATAACCTTTTAAAGTTTTATTCTGTTTCATAATTTGGTGTTAATTTAAAATGAAGAGAAAGAAATAGACACACACAGACGTGTTCACTAAGATCATTCATTCCCATGAAGAAGCAGCCATTTGCTTTAGTCTCACCTCTGCAAGTATTTAACTTCGTGAACTTACAACATCTTGAATCACTGTGTGTGCAGTTGTGAATCTTGAAGGTAATCACTCTTACCCAGTCATCTTCACATTTTTACGTGGATTTTCTGGAGGCACCTTAAATTTGACCTGCCCAAGACCAGACTCACTATTTCCTCCTTGGTTTATGGAGGTGTTATGTTAGCACTTTGCATTTGGTTGACCAAGCAAAAAATCCAAGCCACATTTCACTCCTGCCCGTCTCCTAACACCTCCATTCTTCATCACGTCTTGTCTTGTCTACCTTGGTCACAGCTCAGCCATGTCACTTTATTTTATTACTTCCATCATCAATTCTCTGATCTCTGGAAATGACTTCTCCCCTTCTTAATTCATCCTCCTCACTGTCTGCAGTCATCTTTTTGAAATACAGTTTGGATTACTCATTCCACTGCTCAAAAATTAAATGTTCCTAAGTTTAAATATAAAAGCATTTCTACATAGAAGAATGTACATAAAAACTTCCAAACACAATTCTATGGAATTACAGCTCTAATCTGTACATAGGAAAGGTGGTTTCTATAACCTAAAACAGCTAAAAATATCTCATTTAAGTGGAAATAGCTGGATTTAAAATGGTCCGTTCATCAGGTGTGTGACGTTTGTGTATTTAATTATGTATAAAACAAGAATAATATCTCTCTGCCAGAAGGAATAAAATGAAGATAAATTCTACTTTTCAGGATGACCATGAGAACTAATTGAAGGAATTCGGATAAAGTATTCAGGGCTGTCGCAGCACACAGGCAGAATGGAGGAGCTCAGTATAGTGAGAACTCAGAGACAATGGGGAAAAAAAAGAGGCAGCAAATAGGGCTCAAAGGGTAGGAGGGAGGAAGGGGAGGAGAAAGGGAGGAGGAGGAGAGGTGGGTAGGGGGAAGAAGGGAGGAGAAAGGGGAGGAAGAGGAGGAGAGGTTGAAGTTGCCATGTTTGAGCAAAACATTTGTTTTTATAACTGCTCACAGATGTCTGCTTATGATACTATTTTTTCTTTTCCCTTTCTATTGAAATCTTTCTTACCTTTCAAGCCCACGCTTTGATCCTCCAGGACCCTTTGGTTACTCACTCCAATGGCCATAACATAGACCTTGGCAACACCAATAGCTCTCTATTTTCTCACCAGCCTCTCTATTATCTCCGTTTTATAAATTACGTTCTTGCTTTTCTCCATAGTCTTATCTCCCTGTCTTCCAACTAGGATTCTGATTATAACAAACCTGTGATTCTGAGGGGACCTATGACTCTTTAATCCTGTGGGTGTTTTGCTCTCTTCCATCCTTCCTATTTTCCTTCACTCATTCAGCAACTAAAAGCCCATGGTCAGTTATTGAGAGCACATAGATCACTGTTTGCTCGCTTCTTCCATTTCACATCACATGCTTGCCAGAATCCACCTCTAGCCCGCGTAACCTTATACCTACTCCCCACTTGTACCCTTGTAGCTGCACATAGCTGGAGGAAAAGGTACAAGGAGGTCGCCTCTGCTCACTTTAGATTCATAGCTTCTAATCCCATGTTGCCCACTAATGCTACCGGCAATTACATGGCATTTATCAATCAGCCCCTCTCACACATGCCCCTAATGAGATTTCATGCCTTTTCCTCTCCTCTCAGATCTGTAATACCTCCCCCCTCCAACCCTGCCTTTCCTCTATTTTAACTGACCTTGCTTCTAATTTCTGGAAAATCAGAAGGGAAATTCTACACACTTTCATATCTGACTTATTTACCCAAGAGTGTCCTTAGGCATATAATCTTTCTTCAGATTTCTGTAAAAGAATTGTGCACTCTTACCTAAGGCCAAACCTTTACTTGCACATCAAATCTCGTCCTTTTCTTGCCTCATAAAAGAACAAATCTTCAGCCATCCTTTGTCCTGAATTGTCAGTGTCCTCCACTCTGGGGGCTCAAGTCTGGCAGCACGTGAGCTTGCACTTGTAGCATCTGTGGCTGTGACTTTCAACTGGTGTGCCGTGGCACATCGGTGTCCATGAAAAGATCTTAGGTATGTTGCCAAAACTTCTAAAGATTATTAATGAAATTATTTTTGAAAGAAGTTCAAAGTGCAGTAAGCATATTTTTTAAACTCTTTTTTAATGAGCATAATTTAAGTGTGCCACACAATTTAACTATAGATTCAAGTGTGCCATGAGATAAAAAAAAAAGGTTGAAAAATAGTGTTCTATAGCAACACCGTCTCCTTAGATCCTACTTGCATATCCTCTACCGCTCCTTCCTCTGTTCCCTTCTGTAGCAACATTCCTTGAGTTGTTTGACTTCTTTCCAGTATCTCAACTCATATTCCAATAATGATTTTTGACCCTACTACTTTCTACTTTATTGCAACTGCTCTGACAAGTAGGTTGTCCAGTGACCGCTGTGTTACTAAACCCAACAGTTAACTTCTGGTCCTCACATGACTTGGAAAGTAGGCAATTTTTGTCATGTGTGATCCCTTTTCTGAATTCATTCTTCATTGGTTTTCTATAACACACTCTCTCATGTTTATGCTCTAACCCCTCTGGTCAATCACATTCAGGCTCTTCTGCTTTTTACTCCCAAGTTCCCTGATCTGTGAATACTGAGTTGCCCTAGGACTTAGGCCTTGGAGCTCTTTTTATTCACTTCATACTCTGTCAATGTGCTATCTTCCAAATTTGCGTCTCTGGTCTAACTTCTTACCTCCATCCTCATATCCAGAGTCCTACTTGATCTCTCAACATCAGTGTCCCAGGGGCATTTAAAACTTAGGACAATACCAGATACCTACTTTCTTTCAACCCACCCCCTCCCAAATACTTTATCATTCCAGAGTTTCCCTGTCTCACTGAAATCTTCATGTTTCTCTTTAATTGGGCCAAACTCTTAGAAATAATTTTTAACTTCTCTTTTTTCGGCATCCCATACCAAATCAATCATAAAGTCTTGGCAGTACCATCAAGTACCAAGAACTTGCACTAATATGATACCTGGAATTTGCTATAAAATATAAGAGAAGGTAGTTTATGACCTCTATATTCTAAGCTGAGTGATACTAAAGAGATTTACTCTATTATTCTCATCTTATATTTCTTAACTTTATAAAAAAAAAAATCAAGTAAGCAAATGAAAATAAAACATGTACTGAATCCTGCCACTCTTAGCCCCAGCTTTAAGCTCAACCAAGTCTTATCCAAACTAGTACACTTTCCTGCCAAGTCTAGTCTCACCGTAGAAGCTGGAGTAAACTTTTAAAAGCATGAGTTAGATTGTGTAATTTCTCTGCTTCAGAACCCTACAAAGACTTCCTCTGTGTCATTCAGAGAATTAGCAGAAATTCTTGCTGCTCAGGTCCAATTAAACTCTCTAAGCTCATCACTTACTATCCTTACCATTCATTTGTTCCCTGCTCTTTAGTCTCACTGGCTTCCTTGTATTTCTTAAATATATCAAGAATCTTCCTCCATGGAGACCTTTGCCCTCACTGTTCATTTTGCTGAGAATGCTGCTCCCGCCCCTAAAGAGATCCCTATGAGTTATTTCTTAACTTCCACTCGATCTTTACTGCAATGTTATCTTGTCATAGAGCTCTTTCTCAACCCTTAACACTTTCTATGCCCTTCTTCACTCTTATTTTTCTCCATCATTGTGATTAATATTACTGTCTGCTTACTAATTTTATTTTCTTAATCCTCTTTCTCTCCACCAGAACATAAATTTCATGTGCACTGGGCTGTTTTTATCTCTTTATTGGCTGAGCTAGTCTCAGCACCTGGGGCAATACCTAATCTACAGGAGACACTTCCCCAATATTTGTTGAATTGAAGCTCTAACTGAAATGTCAACTACTAAGGAAACTTCAGACTGCAGTCCTCCAAGAGAGAATTCATCAATTTCTCCTTTATCTTGACCCTTCACTTGATTACAGTTCTATTAT